AAAAAGCTGTGGGAGGAGTATGACCTGCGACAGCAAGCTAGTAAGCTTGCAAATGAGAAGAATGAGTTAGAAAGGTTCTCAAGTGGTCACGATTCTCAATCAAGTTCAACAAGGTTTTCATTCTCAAGTTGGTTGCCTAGTTTCTACGATGAATTGCTACTTTATCTTGAACAAGAGTGGAAGTGGTAAGGTTCATGTCCTTGTTCTTTTACCATATATCACCTAAATGTACTTCCTCATGGCAATCTATTAATGTAACATACTGGTTGGAGAAACGCGTTGTCAGGGCAGATTTCAGAAGTTTAGCAAAATTAAAGGTGTTGATACTTTATCTCTGTGACTTAAAAATTACAATCTTTTCAAAAAATTCTGGCTACAGCAAGGCAGGAGCTGCATGAGGTTCCACTTTTGAACTAAACATGTGTACTTTACGATGGGCAGATTGTGTTGTTGCCTTTCTGAACATTTTGTTTCCATATCTAATGTTTGGAGATGTTCTTCAAGAAAAACTTTCTTTTTGATAGAAGGCTAGAAGTACAGTAGATAGATTGTAGCTCTATTAATTTTTTCCACCTAAAAAGCAATTTAACTTCCCTGATTCAATCGGATCAAACTTTCCTTCTCTGTTGTTATAATGGCCTTGAAATCTTCAAATATCCACATTTAGACTTTCTTTTCCAGGTGTATCCTTGCTTTTCCAGAAGATTATAGGGCTCTGGTACCAAAGCTACTGATTGAGACCATGACAGCCATTGGCCAAAGCTTTGTATCTCGTATCAACCTTGCTACTGGGGATGTTGTTCCTGAGACAAAAGCACTGTCTAAAGGCAATCTTTTACATCGTCTCTGCATTTTTGAATCAAGGATTAAGCTGAAATCACATATATCTGTATGCGCATTTTTGAAATCAAGGATTATGCTGAAATCACATATTTATTATCTGTATGCTTAATGTTGTGCCTTTTGTGACCCCTTCCCAGAAAAAAGAAATCAAGAAAAAATAGGAAGGCCACTTAGGCAACTTGTTGGTGAATGATTGATGAGACTGTTTATTTGGGTATTATTTGGGGCATTTCAACACTTACAATGGATCTGATTATTTGACCTTCCAGGACAATTTCTTTCTTTGCCTTTTGATGCTGTCATGTACTTTTAGGATAAAAGGCAGATTCTACATGTAACTTGTGGGGTTTAGGAAGGGCAAATATACAAGTCTTAAATTCTAGGCAAAGATGCATGAATGAAAAAGGTCAATTTCGGGTGACACTGCCTACCAGAGTATGAACGACTGAAACACTAAACATGATTTTTGACTTAAAATGTTAGGTTAACTCCTATCAGCTAGTTGGCTTAAAGATGCTTTTAACTGTGTTTGACTTTTTGGTCTAGGTTTGATAACATTATTTCAGTGAATGAGTCATCTTTCAGGTTGGTATAGGTTTATATCTGTTAGCAGAGAGACTGTTTTGTTGAAATCTGTTCCATTCCAGGTTGTAAGGTAGTAGTCAACGCTGACTGTTTTGTAAGCCTCATGCAGAAAAATAAAAACTAATCTAATCAAGTAGATTTTAAGTGATATAATAGTCTCTAGTAGCACAATCATCTAGAGGGCTCATGAAAGCTATACCTGCATCAGCAGATTGTCTTTCGGCTTTTTTCCATTCTTAATCTGGCATTTTCCAACTAGTAATGTTGCAAACTTGTATCTATGCTAAAAAGCACGGAAGGGAAAAAAAATGATGCTGAAGCTTGATATTTAAAATTTCAGGTGTCTTAGATATCTTATCCACAGATCTGCCAAAAGGTGTTAAAGTTCAAACTAAGCATTTGGAAGCATTGATTGAGTTGCACCATACGACGGGGAGCTTTGCTCGGAACATTCAGCACCTATTTTCAAATGCAGATCTTCAGGTTTTGCTGGATACAATGAAATCAATCTACCTTCCTTATGAATCATTTAAACAAAGGTAAATCCATATTGTGTAGACATGTTGTGTTCCTGTTTTACTCCTATTTCATGCAATGATGCTTGTTTGCTAGTTGTCCAGATGGACATAGGTTCTTCTTCTCTCTGTAGGAGCTGTACTGCTGGTTTTTGATGCAGTACACCTTGGCTAGGTATCTTAGTTTTAGCAGTATGTGTTGGTTTTTTTGTTGGGAGGTATCTACTCAAAGTCGATTAAGAACTGTGTATTTCATGTAACATGACAATATTTCTTCTCTTCTCATTATCTCATGGAAATGGCTTTGGCGGTAGTAGTGAGAGGGAGGTTGTCTAAGCTGTTGCACTCAGTTTTCACTTTACTGTTGTGCCTTGATATTTTGTGATGACAGCCTACTCATTGACCTGTCTGCTAGGTATGGACAAATGGAGCGTGTTATCCTCTCCGGTGAGATTGCTGGACTTGATCTCAGGGGAGTAACTTTTAGTCGCTTTGTTGGAGTCCATGGAGTTGAACTCAGTGAAACCGTCCGAAGAATGGAAGAGTCTATTCCACAAGTGATTATACTTCTTGAGGCAGCTGTTGAAAGATGCATCAACTTCACAGGAGGTTCTGAGGCAGATGAGCTTATTCTTGCACTTGATGACATACTGTTACAATACATCTCCGCCCTGCAAGAAATTCTAAAATCATTGAGAGCTGTGTGTGGAGTGGATGCAATTGATGGCTTGGCTTCAAAGAAGGATCTTGGAGCTGACAGAAAGGATGGAACTTCTCATGCGCGTAAAGCTGACTTTTTGTCCAATGAGGAAGAATGGTCCTTTGTCCAAGCTACACTGCAGATTCTCACAGTTGCAGATTGTTTGTCTAGCAGATCATCGGTCTTTGAGGCTTCTTTAAGAGCCACTCTTGCTCGATTAAACACAAATCTCTCTCTTTCAGTTTTTGGCTCTAGTCTTGATAAAAACCATTCCCATGTGGTCAATGAGGACAGAAGTGGGGAACCATCTACTATTGGTAGAGCAGCTTTGGATATTGCAGCTTTGAGGCTTGTTGATGTCCCTGAGAAGGCTAGGAAGCTTTTCAACCTATTGGAGCAGGTACTTGAAAGAGGATAAATGTAAATGTGGTTTGGGAAAAAGTTAGGAGAAAGTGTAAAAGGTAAAAACAACTTAAAAATGTTTGTTTGAAGATCATGGAAAATATATATGTTTTTTAAACTTTAACAAGCAGGATTCAGGATGGGACAAAATATATGACGTGATGTCGTGATTGATGGGGAATTGGAGCATATAGTAGATAAGTGGTTTCAGTGAACTTCAATACTAATATCACTCTTAGCATATGTCCAGTGAATTGTTCTGAATGATAACATTGAGAAAAAAAATTCAAAATATTGTTGTCAATCTTGACCCACTGCTTGTATTTCTGATTTAATTGTGCCTATTGATTGTTTATCTGAAAATTTTCTCCTTGAATACTGATATAGCCTAGGAAAATGCATGATCTGATCTTTTAGTCATAACCAACATTTGGTGTTGCATGCAGTCTAAAGATCCTCGGTTTCATGCGCTTCCGCTTGCATCCCAACGAGTTACAGCATTTGCAGATGCTGTCAATGAGCTTGTTTATGATGTTCTTATATCAAAAGTACGGCAACAGTTTAATGATCTGTCTCGTCTGCCAGTGTGGTCTTCAGTGGATGAACCTAGTGCTTTCCCCCTCCCAAGTTTTAGTTCATATCCTCAGTCTTATGTAACCAATGTTGGCGAATATCTTCTCACCTTACCCCAGCAATTAGAACCGCTTGCCGAGGGCATTTCCAGCAGTGATACTAATGCAGATGAGGCTCAGTTTTTCGCAACTGAATGGATGTTCAAGGTAACTACAAAATATTACAGTTTACTGTCACAATGATATACTTCAAAGAAATGCTGGTTTAGCCATCTAACATGCTTGCAGCAAAGTGGGGCGGGTTTGCTTGTGGGGCTCGGCTGGTTTGTAAATAAACAAGTGTTGGTGCCGCAGAAGGCTGAAACTCTTGTGATTACACATATTGGACAAAATAATTGGAAGTCCTTACATATTGAGAACTTAACAGCATGTTCTTTTGATTGAGTTGCTGTTCTTCTTTTAGTTACTCCAATTGGAGAACTTAACAGTTTCTCCAATGTGGGATGAATAATTTGCTTCAGTTTTCTTTTCAAACCTGCAAAAGGTTATTGCTCATGGCTGTGGTTTAGTTATTCTTTCTTTTGTTTATCATAAAAGGTTGCAGAGGGTGCTTCTACTCTTTACATGGAACAACTGCGTGGTATTCAGTATGTAACTGATCGTGGAGCACAACAGCTGGCTGCTGATATTGAGTACTTGAGTAATGTGCTTTCTGCTCTATCAATGCCAATTCCTCCAGTACTTGCTACTTTTCAGACTTGCCTATCAACCCCAAGAGAGCAGCTTAAGGATCTTGTCAAATCGTCGGACTCAGGGAATCAACTAGATCTTCCTACTGCGAACCTTGTATGCAAGATGCGGCGACTGAGCTTGGATTAATATTGCAGTTTTTAAGGTGATATACCAGATGTTTGCTTACAAGTTACCCTTTCTTGGACCATTCTGGAGATATTCAGAGATACCCTGCCTCAAATGAGGGTTGCAAGATTTGGGAACTAAACCTTGCCTTAGGACATTTTAGCTAGAAAAAGAGAGGGGGGGTATATATGTATTTTGGCAGCATATGGTTATTACCTTCAACGAGGGTTGCAGGATCTGGAGAGATTCAGAGATACTCAACCTCAATGAGGGTTTGCAGGATTTGGGAACTAAACACTGCCTCCGGGCATTTTATACAGAAGGGGAGGATTATGTGCTCTGGCAGCATATGGTTCTGACTTTCAAGTCTTACTGTACAATATGCACAGCTTGTGTTCCCCGCAAATTAACTCGGATTAGTAGACCTTTGAAATCAAATTCCAGTTAAGTTGACATGTTGTCCTTGGACAACTTAATTGATCAGATTTTTTTTTCCAGGAGGTATCAGACGAGCAAATGAAATTACTTATAGGAGACCATGTAAGATACGGCCTTCTTACATTTGAAGTTCAATCAATATAGGCGATGTTTTTCAGAAAAAACACGGGGCTAAACCATCTAGAGCAATAGAAAAAAGGTCTAGCAATGTAGGACTCTATTTGCGAAGGAAAAAAGAACAAAACTGAAAACCTATCTAATCTGCATTAGCTATAGCGTTCAATCACCTTCAAGCTTCCATCACCAACCCAAGTAATAGATCTTCAAAATCCCTCCAGTTGGTATAGTAAAATTGACGATTTGACTCACAAAAGAAGACGCCTGTGTGCCAACATATGGTTCTTTTAGGAATTGAATGATCACCAAAAGAGGGCTCTCCACTTGTTTCACAATTTTTAACCAACTTCAGATGAAAAAAAAAATGGCTACCTCAAAATTTTGGAACACCAATAACAGTTGCGTTTCAGATGCAGCCAGCCCATCAGAATCAAAACCTGAAAAACTGCACCTTGCACAAATACATGGAAAGATGTTCACAGTTTGCAAATTGAATCCGCTATATTTCAATTGACGACACCCCCTTTGCAAACTTAAGATTGAACTTCTGCAATAAGACCTCCAAGCGAGAATCTTCAGTGCTAGATTCTTCATAGGGGAGAAGACTCCCATCCTAGTGCACAGACTAAGGCAGCTGGAAGTTAACATACCATGTCTGAATATGCAAAGAACCAATATATCCATTTCCAAACATTCAATGAATGGTTCTGCCAAGCCAAAAAAGAAATATCTTGGACCTTGTCTTGTGTGCGACAGGTTTATTTGAACAAAAAATGGTTGCTAAGTTGGTTTGAAACAGCCAAAACGCCCAAGCAAATTTCCGTGGACAAATTCAAAAGCTAATATGAAGGACGAGATCAAGATTACCATTGACTATTAAGGGTCATCCGCAACTTGCTCTTATATCTTTGACTAAATTATGTGTTCTTATCCATAACCAGATTGCTTTTAAACTTCTCTTCTTTTATGTTGTCTGGTTAGCTGCCTTTTCATCTTCATAGTGCCTGCAGAGTTCAACTCGTTGAGTGAACAGACATTAAGGCACTTAATCAAGGAAGAATGAGTTTACCTTTTTTTCAAAATCATCAGATAAATTATCAGAGAAAACCTAAGGAGATCCCTATTCATTAGCTCATTGGCAGCTAATGTAAGTGGAGTACAAGAATCTGCAATCGGTCATCTGAGCAGACAAGAAAACACAAAGCCCAAACTATTGATAGTTAGGAAGTCATTTTACGGTTAAGAAAATCAAAATTTACTTGTTACCTCACAGTTGATCAAACTGTTAACTCCTTCAGCAGCAGTAATATCCATGCACATATAGAGTATCTGTTCTATAACTACTTGAGAAAAGATTCCCAGAGTGATCCCAAAAAAGAAGGAACCAGAACTCTGGTAGGCATATCACAGATGATTGATAAATCAATTAGATCAACCAAAGTCTAGATAGATCATTGAATAGTTACAACAACGAAGTCATACCTACCTCAACCTTTTCTCTCTAAATATATCGATGATAGGGAGATGATACAGTCTCAATAAAGCTGTAAGAACAAAGAAGAGTTTCACCCATGATGACCATAGAACTTTGACTCCAAAAGTATACATTCATGAAAACTGGTGAGTGGTGGAAAAACTACCTCTTCTCATTTAAAATTCAAACACCCATCCAATGTCCTCAATATTGACGGACTGGACTCCTGGATGATCTCCGGTTACCATATCTAACAGGAGAACGTGACCGGCTTCTGTCACGCTGGCGGTATCTTTCCCTGCTTCTATCTCTTCCATTCCGGGAACTGCTGTACTTCCAATCTGATCCTCTACCCCCCTCTCGAGTTTCTCTGCTATTCCCCTCTCGAGATCTTTCACGGTCACCATCTCGCTCCCTGTATCGATCTCGTTCCCGATTGTGATCTCGATCACGATACCTGTCCCTCTCAGATGACTCACTTCTTCTATGTCTGCTTTCATACTCTTTCTCCCTTTGCTTCCTCCTTTCTTCTGCTTCTTTTTCCCGGGCTAGTCTTTCTTCCTCTCTTTTCTTCTCCTTAGCTTCCTGTTAATCAGAAAACAGATGAGCTTTATACGTAAAATCTCCTTCGAACATTTTCCTAAAATGTAAAATATGGTGGGGAATCACCTTGTACTCTGCAAGATAATCTCGGACCATACCATATCCCATATGCTGTTTTCCAGTGACATGCGACTGAGTTCTCTCAGCAGCATCATTTGCAACTAGAAAAGAACCACATATCTCACACAGAGCCATCTTTTTCTCCTGTGCCATCATCAAGACTTTATCTTGTTGAGGTTGCTGTGTTAAAGCTGTCTTCTCAGCATTGAGCACTTCCACCTGTTAAGTGACACTAATCTGGCATAAGTTTCCATAGCTTTCAAGTGAAACTTTACAAATTCATTAAATCAGGTTCCTAAACCACACCTTCCTCATTAGCGCTTCGGCTTCATCAACCTTTCCAGCTTCACCAAGAGACTCCACTTGTTCCAGTAGGTTCTTTATTTTTTCCTCCAAAACAGCTAATTGCTCAGACTTTTCTGCTGGGATAGGAGGAGGAGGGGGAACGTCAATCTCTTGAGCAAGACGTTCTCGACCACGCCTAACTCGTCTATCTAAGTCCATAACCTGAAACAAAATATGGCTTTACACATCAAGAAGTGGATAGAAAGGGTAAGCAGAATTTAAATGTATATCACCCCTTACCAATTTCTCACAGAAATGAGCCAGCTCAGCCTCAAACTTTGGAACATATGCGTCGTGCCTAGGAGACTTCTCAAAGCTAAAAGAGAAATTATAACAAACTCTCATCACTACCATTAAAGGAAAATATTGGCAGACAGTGCACTAAGCCCACAAGTATTTTCTTCTTCAGGGTTCATGAAAAATAGGGGCAGAAAAGTACATGCATCTAATTCTTGCATCCAGCCTCTGATTGTGCAAGTTAGTAGCATAGGATCACCAATTATACAAAATATAGGGAAAGTGTAGATGAAAGAAAAAGAAGAGGGAGGCCAGCTAACAAGTGAATGTGATTATTGGCAAGAAGGGAATCCAAGAAGATCAATCAAACGTTCAAACTTCTAATAGTATCAACACATCTCAAATGTTTTAGGGATGTATTTATAGTTGGAAACCACAAGTTATAACTCCACTTATAGGTTGGCCGACTGCCTAAGAAAATTTCCATATGTGTTTGATGAAAATGGACATGCTCAAGTGAATATCTCTCCACTGTAATCGCTTTATTACATGCCAATTTGAAGCCAAAAGGTAAAAACACTAGTCATGATTTATTCATTAAGCATAAGATTGTCAAAGAAAGATCTCATAAAACAAGTCACAGTGCCCTAATATGAACTGATTGACTCCTCCAAATCTCAAGCAATCAAAGCATAATTTCTTGAGAGTTTAAAACATGTTAAGTTCCCAGTTATCTGGTTCTTTTACAAATAAATCAAAATATATTAGTATGGAGGGTATTTACACCATGTTAGCAACATAAAAAACAATGAACAGAACCACTAAAATACAAGGATGGCATCCTGAAAAACAGCAACAAAATAAAGTTCTATACTTTTGCAAAATCAAAGCTTACAGAGAACCTCTGTGCAATGAACTGATATGAGAGATAAACTTGCTCTGAAGAATACTCATACATTACCTTTCCTTCAACTTTTGATCATGAATTTTAGGGCATGGTCCTGATAAAAACACAACATGAATAACTATCAGCAAAAGTTATGGGCGCTCAAGCATTCCATCCATTGACTACATAAAACACAGCAAGTATCCCCATATCCACATGATAGCTAATGGTCCTAAATTATTAGATTTCCCTTTTCTGAATATGTTCCTTCATTGCATCTTAAGAACGAATTCTAATATCAATCTAAAGCAGAAAACAAGAAATCAAGAGGCAGACAGATATAGTATAAGCACCTAGATCACTTCTTGTGTTGACAAACAAATCGTGGGGGCAAAAGCGAACCATATAGAAGCTGCACACTTCCTTACTGTCCCATGTAATTTCCTTGTACCCCTTCCTCTCTTCTTCAGTCAAATTACGAGCTACAGAAGCAACAAAAATTAAAATCAGCAGTCGTTTCAGTTGAAAAAAAAAAGAAAAAAAAGGAAACCGGAGCGGTACAGATTCAAATGCATTCTACAATTACTCAGCTAAAGTGTCCAATTAACAACATCCCAATTCCCAATATAGAGGCACTACAGTTAAAACGCTGTATTTCGCTACATCCCCATAAAAACAAGCTTTAGGATTAGGATCGGCCAATAGGAAAAACCATATTATAAGTGTTTTGCCCAAGCTTATTCCTTGTACCCACAAATTTCAATTGAGGCAGGAACCGGCTGCTAAGGGTTTCTAATAATATATAGTAGTGCTAAAATCCACTGAAATAAACTAGAGAAGAAGACAGAGAGACGAAAATTACACTAGAAATCTGAATTAATGAAAACATTGAGTTATAGATTTCGGTAAAACATCACTAGCAAACATTAAAAAAGATTAAGGAAGGAGATAAACCTGCACCCATGAGTTCATCAAGCAAAGCTCTTTGGGCGTCCATGATTGAGATTGGAAAAAAACTAAAAGAAAACAAGATTAATCTAGGCCGCCTAGATAATAAACTGGAATGTGTAGCCCCCTTTCAATCTAATGTAATCTTTAGATTAGACTTTTGCTGAGGAGCGAAAAGTGATGAGAATTATTTTTATTATTAGGGTTTTATTATTATGTTTCAGGCTTTTCTTGTTAGGGATTCTAATCATATAGTGAAGGAGTAAAAGGACTCCTCGGCAAAAAGGGATTTTACCCTCTTACGTGAATACTAGCAGACAGTCGGAATGTGCAAAATTAGATTTTTTTTTTTTAAAAAAAAAATTGCTACACAAGCTCAATCACCAAAATCGGAGGAGCATTCAACCTTAATTTGATAAGGCTAATTCCATTTTGCATCCTTAAATTTATATCACTTTTTTAATTTACACCTTAAATTTTAATTTTAGATACTTTACATTCTAAACTCTTAATTTTGGATACTTTACACCTTAAACCGTCAAATTTATCCATTTAAATCCAATCAATGATTGCGTTTATAAAATTAACAAGATAAAAGGTATTCAAAATTAATGACAATGTACTATTTTGTTTTCACTGTGAAGTTTTAGTTTTTTTTTTTTGACTATTTTTTTGACTATTGCGTTAAAAGTTAAATTGTATACACCTATCAATCAATTTTTTTTGTTTTCAATTCCATTTTTAATATACCAAATTTGAAAATTATATACTTGGCTCTACATATATATGATTTCCTATATGTGATAAGATTTGAACATTTTGAAAAGTTCTCCCTATAACCATATAAAAGCAACGTTCGCATCAATTGGTGTTATTGTTGTTGTTTGTGTACTCTCCATAGAAAAGCAAGTTGTACTTTTCCCCTTAAGGATTGTGAGAATGAGAAGCTAAAAAAAAAAATGTTTCCCCTCTCCCTACGTACCACAATTTCGGGCGATTAAAGATTAGAAGAACTCCTGGTGCATTCAGTCTCAACCTATACTTAAATTTTTTTTTTTTTTTGTCTATTTCGTATTCTTTTTTGTTAAATTTCTTCTGGTTTTGCATGTAGGTCCATGCTTATTTTGTCATCACCTGGCATTTAGAAGCCAAGAAAGGGCCTTTGTATAGGATGATAATAAGAAAATAGCAACAGAAATGAAGAAAATATATGGTCCAAGTCCGACCATCTGTATGTACATTCTTCCCTGTTATTAATATTATCCGAGGACAATATTTTGTGGCTGCCCTTCATTTTTTAATCGATTAACTAACTCCTCTGCCAGCCGTCAATGGCCGATAGCTCTTCCAACCAGCAGCAATTGTTTCAATTCTCTCACGCCTGAGCAGCCATGAACGACACAGTGGACAAGCTGGTGATTTTTCTAGCCAAAAGAGATGGCATTGACAAGCTCGTCAAGACCTTTCAGTATGTTTCCAAGCTGGTTCACTGGCACGTTGAGGCCACCCGCCCTGAGATAGCCCAGAGGGCCAAGCAATGGGAAGTCGCCTCTGGCTTAAGCCGGAAAGCTTTCCGCAGCGGCCGTTTTCTCACCGGCTTCAATGCTCTTAGAAGAAATCCAGGCTCAACCCCGACGCTCAAGTTCCTAGCCGTCCTTGCCAATGGTGGGGAAATGGTCTATTTCTTCTTCGACCATTTTCTCTGGTTGGCAAGAATTGGTGTATTGGATGGGAAACTGGCTCGGAGGATGAGCTTCATATCTGCGTTTGGCGAGTCATTTGGTTACATATTCTTCATAGTGTCCGATTTCATACTGATTACAGAAGGGATCAGGGCAGAGAGAAAATTACGAGTGGTCAAGGAGGAAGGTTCAAAGGATGCAAAAGAGAATACTAGCAGTGGTATTATGAAGATCAGAGTGGATAGAGTGATGAGATTGATGGCGGTGGCAGCAAACGTTGCAGACCTCGTCATTGCCTTGGCAGATATTGAGCCCAATCCATTTTGCAACCATGCCGTTTCACTGGGAATCAGCGGTTTGGTCTCTGCCTGGGCTGGTTGGTATAGAAACTGGCCCTCCTGAGTCTTGATGGACTACTACTGTACTGACTGCAATCATACCAGAATCATTTCCAGTTGAAGAGTTAATTGAAGAAGTCTTCGATCTTGATGCTGCTGCTTTTATGGTGTTTTATTTACTCACTCTGTACGAGTTTGTCCTGTTGTTGTTATAGACTGCTAGAAGATTGAGTTTGTATACAGTCTTTTCTTTTTTTTTGGGGGTAGTATGAATTAAAAAATCATTTCGATAGACGTGTGTATTTTTTGTGTGTTGGGCGGGGGGGGGGGGGGTTCTATTTCTACCATGCAATTGGAAAATAAATGGTTGCGTGAGGACCGAGTTGCAAAATAGAGAATTACCATGCAATTAACATCTGGCAACCACAAGAGGAAGCTTCCCCAAACTCGTACAAGAAATGACGTCATAAACCGAAATCCATATCCTCATCAATTAGCTGAGGAGTGAGGAGGCTGCTCTCTCTCTCTCTCTATTCTTTTTTTTTTTTTTTTAATTAAAATTTGAGTAGTAGTCTTTCAAGTTTCAATTCATTGCAAGCACGCGTTTACTATTAATAAATATTTCTGGGCTGCGTCCTCTAGATTCAGTCTTCTTCTTCGCCGCTGAATTTGGCCCTTTTGTATTAATACTTTACTTAAACGGTTACTGAGCCAACCATTGACTTAATACTAGTATTAACCACCTCCACTTCACTTCTGAGCGATCACCCGTGACGACATTTCCAGAAAGGTACGGAATTTTTCTACCAGTTGCTCATACCCTTTTCATGTTTCTATTGTTCAATTGTTTTTCCTTCGGATTTCTTTGTTTCTTTTTGTTTCATTTGTGAGATTGATTTTAGTGGGGTCAGAACTGAGAAGCGATGGCGGAAGGTGGGGGAAATCCGTCGAGGTATGTCAAGTTGACTAAGGAGCAAGCGGCCCCTTCTGAGGACATTAAGCCAGGCGAGCTCAATCAACCGATTGAAGTCCCTCAGGTATAATATTTTTCATCTATTAACTTTTTTTTTTAAAACTCAAATATTTCGTTTTGGAAATTGGGCAATTAAATTGAGAAAATTTGGGAGGGTCATCTATTAGAATGTATTGTCGTGTGAAAATGAATAGTAACTTAAAGATATTTTGATGTAGGGAAAAGGGATCAATATGCAGATTCACCGCATGCATAAGATTAGAATCATGTTTGGATTATTGACAATGTGCTTCAGACTAGCTGTCAATCATTCCCTTACCCCCTGAAATCTTGCCATAAGTTGTTTCTTGTGGAGGATCTGACTGAAGTGTAATCGAATTGCCAATCACCAATCACATCGACTCTAGTCCATTTAGTAGTTGTTTTGGACATTTTCACTCACAAATCAAGGAAACCAGGTGTAAAGGGCAGCAAATAATCTCGCCCTCTATCGAGAAATAGAGCCGTCCTTATTTTCCAATTTCGCTCTGGTAGAGGCTAAGAGAAACAAGAGAAGTATTAAAAAAAATAGCTTTATCTTATCATTTTTTTATTCCTCAGTTCCATTTCCTTTAATCTTCCCAATTTGTGCAGTGTAACATTGTTTATTTTGGCAAATTGCCTCAACCTCGTGAAGCATTTTCCTTCTTTAACTTATCAAAACGGAACTGGAAGGAAAAAAGAAAATGTGAAGCAAGAGGAACAAGTCAGCTTGATTAGATTAAATTTCTTTAGTCCTCCTTCCGTTTCCATTACCTATCAAATGCAAGTCAGTCACTCAGATCCACTTCCCTTTCCCTTCCCACTTTTCATTCTATTGAGCTGGCTGTTAGTCTTGTATTTTATCTGTTGTGCAACTTTCCTTAGAAAATTAGTGTAATGGAAACCAATTGAAGCACTTTGGGTTGAAGGAATTGAAATGAGCTTAGGTATTGCATACATTTGCTAAGCGGATTTAAGAATCTTCATCTTCTTATGATTCAATGGCTGGCCACATATCGGGTGCTTATGCCATAATTCAATGTGCAGTTGGGTGTTCGCAAGTGCAATGAGTGTGGGCAACCTTTACCCGAAAGCTTTGAGCCTCCTGCTGATGAGCCATGGACCACTGGGATATTTGGCTGTACTGAAGATACTGAAAGCTGTGAGTTTAACCCGAGGAAGTTCCGATTGGTTTAGGGGCAAAACTTCTTGTTTAATTTGGCACTTAAAAGTTTCATTTCTGGCTGTTCAGCAGCCATAACTACATTTACTCTATCTTTTTTAGGTGATGGCAATGCCATTTAGTAGAACTTGTCACTCGTCTTGTGATTTTAGATGCTCATGTTGAACTAGGTTAACTTTGATCAAGTTCCTTGCAACCCTCGTGCACATGTAAGCTTGCAGAAATTTTAGAAATTTGTATGAATGGATTTTTTTCTCCCGTATCAATGTTATGTCGTTATATTGTTTCCCACATGTCATACTTCCTGTCCTCTCCAAAGATTGGTGTCTCTTAGTTTTTTTCTGAACGAAGCTTTGTTCTGAGACATAAAGGGGTTTGTGTTTGTCATTGGTACGTTCAGTTGTGTCATGTGCATAAATTTCATTTCAATGCGTATTTTACTTCAAAAGATATCTTGCAATGTCTGAGTTGCAGGATTCTGAATTATATTATTACTATTTGCTATTCTTACGTCTAACAGCATTGAATTGCTATGAGATACCTTTTTGTTTCCAATGTTTGCACTTTTGTCGCTATTGCCCCCTGCCCTACATTATCTCAGTGGTGTCTTGTTTTAGAACTTTACTGTTTGCCTCATTGTTCGTAAGAACTTTCGAACTGTATGTCCTCATCTATAGTTTCCATTTCTTTTTTGGTGCCTCTACAGGCTGGACAGGGCTTTTGTGCCCATGTGTCTTGTTTGGACTTAATATAGAGAAACTGAGAGATGATACTCCCTGGACAACGCCTTGTGTTTGTCATGCTATATTTGTTGAGGGTGGCATTGCACTTGCAGCAGCAACAGCGGCTTTTTATGGTATAGATCCAAGGACATCATTCCTTATTTGCGAAGGTTTGTTATTTAGTTGGTGGATGTGTGGAATATATACTGGTCTTGCACGGCAGTCACTACAGAAAAAATATCATCTTAAGGTAATCCATGTTTTCTGTACTTACATGTTGAGATATAAACCTCAGATTTCAGTTTCTTTATCACTCTTGCTATTCCCATTTAATTCTGCTCAAAACGAGATTTGTACTTCATGTACTGTCATTTTGGGTCAAATATTTGGAAGCTTAATTCATGAATTCCAGCTATGTCTAAGCAAAATTGTTTTCTGTTAGAACCATGTTGCTGTTGTCAATCAACGTGTGGTATCAATTTTGGTTGCTCCTCCTGTGTTAGACAGATCCAGCTCTTCCTATTGTGAAACGAGATATTTTTCATTGAGTGATGAATCATGGCATTTGTCAAGTTGTGCTAAAAAGATGTTTGTGCATCAATTTGTTCCTGCAGAACTCACCATGTGACCCATGTATGGTCCACTGCTGCATGCACTGGTGTGCCTTGTGCCAGGAGCACAGGGAGATGAAAGGACGCCTCTCAGATGATGCTGCGATGCCGATGACCATAGTAAATCCTCCTCCCGTCCAAGAAATGAGTGCTGCTCCTGATGATCGGGATTCTGCACCTTCCTCCGAAAAGAGCAAGGAGCACACTAATTTGGAGATGCAAGCTTTACAGTAGCATAATAATAGACTTTGACATGAATGCCGCTGTGATACTTGGATAGTTTTAAGAGGCTTTGTTATACATAAGTGAGGAGGAAGATATTGATTTTTGTTCATCATTCATTGACATTAATCTACAATTTTCTTATAGGTAATACCTTTCAAAATTTGTTAGCTATGCATCTTTGTTAATATCCTGACTTATCCTTTCGTTATTGGTGCGCGTGGGCGGGAAGAGGCTAACGGGTTCATCCAAGAAACGGAGTGCGGGGTCTATTTGGCTTCTCCTGCCCCTTATTAATGATTTTATTCCTTCCCCTTCTCCCTGCTAGATAAACAACACATTCGTCCTTTAGGGAGGAGGAGGAGGAGGGGGAGGAGAAGCTTTGACGGTCAAATTAAAAACTTGCTCTATCAATCAATGAAGCTGAAAACGCTGAGTCTTAGAGGCTTAAATTATTTTCCTCTTTTGTATTTTCGAGTTAAAGCAAGCAGATGAAGCAAAACCCACCATGCTCTTGAATGCATGCATCCACCATAGAGGTTAGTACTACAATTCCTCTTCTCAGTCGCGAGTAGCAACTCCCACTAACCTTTTCAGTTAAGTTTAAGAGCGAATTTTCTGGATGCAAGGAGCTAAGAAAAACTGCATTACGCTTACACTCGAAGATTACACGAGATAATAAATCGTCACCATACTACCAACGTTTTGACCCGGGAAAATAGCATTTGTTCTTTAAGCTTTGTGGGAAATCTCGCGGTTGGTCAAGTACGATAAGGGTAAGTTCAGGCACCAATTTCCAGCGTTCTGTCACGGTTGGCCAATTTCTGGACACAGAGTAAATAAAACTTCTATGAGAAAATAACAATCCCAGAACAAGAAGTCAGTAGGAATAACCTTACGAAATTACTCCTGTTTCAGAGCCAATATATGCATCTATGAAGAGTAATGTCATCAAAACTCCCCTTCCCCCACCCAACCAAAATCAATAGAGCACACTAACCAAACGAAAGAGAAAAGGTTATACAACTACTCCCGAAACTGTTTAACTACCCCATTCGGGTCATGAACCATTCTAGAGACGAATCAAACTAAGAATTACATGCAGTAACAAGAGCTTGACAACATAACGGACAATGAAAATTGCGTGCCTCAGCTACGATTACAAACTGAATGCTGTATTTGACCTTGGACTCTTCGAGTAAAAACACTCAGGGCATTGCAAGTCCTAAAAGCATAACAAGAACACAACAGATCTGCTATAGAACAAAAACATGATCCCAGCAATATGAACTGCTGAATTCATTTCGTTTGAGCAGAGAGACTCAGCAGCAGAACATAGGATTTTCGTTTCTTTAGCAGAACGGAGACCTATTGACTCAGAATAAAATTCCACAATTAGCAGCCAAATATTAAGACAACATTTCAAGGAAACTTTCATCCCCTTCAACAATACAAAGGAGTGTTCAGAAAGAAAGAGATAGCTTAGACAAGATCAAGCTCAGATATTTAATCCTCTCTAGCTGAGATTTCTTCAATAAATGCTCTGCCCCAACAGTTATTAGTGCCCACCCAATGGAATGAGAAATAGCTGTTCCTCGATGAAGCACCAACAAAGAACCCAACACGCAACGTAATTGCCTAATATTTACTAACCAAGCAAGTCATGACTCTCGTTCTCCCGAGTCTGATATTTGTTCCACATTGCTCTGCATTTCAAGCAGCTTTTGCTGTTCCTCTTCTCTTTCTTGTGCCTTGGATTCTTTAACAGCATTAGCCTTGTTGCTCATAGACTGCTGGTACATAACCCCACCCATCATGCAAATCAAAAGCCCAACTGTTCCAATAATTGTTGAATGCTTGTCCCAGATGACTAAATTTATTACAACTGTTAAAAGCTTGTTTACAATGCCAAGAACAGTGAACCCTGTTGCAGAGATTGCTCTACGGCAAGAAAACCCGAAAAAAGAGATAGCTAAACCAAACAAACATGACAGGCCCACTGGCAAGACCACCTGAAAAGAGGACCAATCTGATTCATCAGAAATATCATGCTTCATCTTCTTCAACTCCCCCATTATAAATAGCTCCACTGGAAACAATAGCAGAGCCTCAAGATTGTTGTAGAGCACAAGTCCCCAAGTATTCAAACCAATGGTCATAACCACATGCTTAATGTAAACAAAATCAATAGACATGCTGACAAGGTAGGCCAAAGCCCAGGCATAAGCCGTAACAGTGAACTGATAATCAGTCATTACATAAAGCACACTACCAGCAAATATCGTTACAAGTGATCCCCATGTCTTCAATGAAGGCCACGGCTGATTCAAGCAGAGAGTTTCTCCTATTGCAACGAAAATAGGAACTGCTGACCGGAAAACAATGAAGGTATCAACATTGGTGTGCAGGAGGAGCTCACTATTCGTGAAAAGGGATAGATAGAATATGATAGCAGCAGGTAAGAAGCGCCACATAGTTAAAAGTTCAAGTTTATCATGCTCTATAACCTTAAGCCAACCACAAAGTAGCACTCCAGCAGCACTGGTGAAGTACTGCAATGCGGTTAGAGCTCCGGGATAAGGGAATTTCATGACAGCCCATTTGTTGATTATAGATAACAATGATGCTGAAATACAGTACCCAGCAGCTACGCCATATACAGAGGCTTGCTGAATCAAGCTACCGTACCAGGTTGATTGGGTGGTTTCAAGGGCTGGTGATGAGGGAGGAACATTCAAACCGTGCCCTGCTTTTGTGGCATGGCCATCTTTCGGATTTTCCACATCATTGGACATCTGAATCTTCTTCCCTAAAAAGTAAATACACCAATTAAATAGAGTACGGAAAAGTGAATTGGAACTCAAAGAGCATACTTTCCATCTTTATCAGCACTTCTCAACCAGATTATACTGATAAATGCAAATTACACCTTTTCCACAGCAGCATCCACAACGAAGCCGAATAATTAGGGGGGAAAAGGATTGAATCTGATTTTATACCCACGGGTTTAGCTAGATATAAGAGGACAGCAAGAATTGAACAGGCCACTAAAGTATCAGGACCTTCAATAAGAACAGTCAATATAAGACATAAATACCATTCCATCGAAGCTCAGAAACATGAGAAAATTTTCTTTTCGTTTTTTATTTTGATAAGCAGAAACATAAAGAATTTAAACAACAGAAAGTCAATTCTGCAGAATATATCACCAATATCATTGGAGGAAAAACTTATGACAAGGAAGAGAACAAAGGGTTTTACCTTTTCGCCAGAAATTGATCAAAGGATTCAGAGATTGGGCGGAGATCGCCGGCCAAGTATTCAGAGAAGTGGGAGCAGGGCGCTGTGTCGCTGAAGTCAAGCTCCGGTATCCAGAGGCACATCACCAAATGACAAAATATATAGTGTTGAAACGCGATTGGATTTTGGGGCTAGAGCAGCCTTACAGGTTTTGAATATTCCACAAAAAAAACTCCGGTATCCAGAGGCACGTTGACCAAACGACAAAATATATTAACTACTGTTGAAAACGCCATTGGATTTTGGGAGTAGAGCGGTCTGATAGGTTTTGAATTTTCTACCCCAAGCAGCAGCCAGCCGAGTCGCTCATTTATTACAGAATTTCTCCACGGAGGGGAATTTACCTGCGCAATGCCCCGCGCAGACAATATACACTTCGCACGTATAAAACTAAGTAAGGAATTTATTAGCATCACGTGCCTTGTTGTAACTCTCGCGTCATGTTGATATTGGTTACTCCGCCGCTTTTAAAGGTATTTGCATCCTTTGAGATTTTATACCATAACGGATTTTTTGTCTCACATTCTATGCCCCTCTCTGTTCTATTTTTTATTATATTATTATTTTTCCTTCATAAAATCATGTTTTAGTTCTTTTTTGTTTCATTAAAATCCAATAACTATTAATTCAGTAATAAATAAATACAACAGCTTCAAAAAAGTAATATATAATAGAAAATTCATAAAAAATCTCATTTTTTATGCATTTTGATTTTTTGAGTTTGTTAAATTTTGTGTATTACTGAATTAATAGTTATTGGTTCTTAAGAAAACAAAAAATAACTAAAACATTATGTTTATGAAGGAGAAATAGCAATATAATAAAAAATGGGACAAAAAATGACACAGAGTGTGGGATAAAAGATCCGTTGTGATTTTATACATGGTTTGGTTATTAATTGGAATAGTAGTATAAAGTTGTTTGGAGTGTTCATCAAAAACTAATTTTTTAAATACAATAAAAATTTTTAAAAAGTACTCTAAAAGATAATCTAAAAATTAGTTTAATTTTTTTTTTAAATTTAAAAAGTATTTCAAAATATATTCTAGAAAACTCTTTTACTCTTAAATATCCCAAAATGTTTTCTACAAATATTTCAAAATATACTCTAAAAACTCTACTACAGCAAAGTTTTTTAAAAACACCTCAAAAAACAGCTAATCCAAGTTAATTTGGAAAAAGTGTCTAAATGCATGGAGTTCAATAATTGTGATTGTGTATATTTTTTTTATTTCCATTCATGTTCGATAAGAATCCTTATAATCACTTCACGTAATAAGTTAGATGTAATTTAAGTATGATAATAATAAGATATTCACATAAATTAGATGTAATTTAATTATGGTAATGTGTGTCTCCTGAGCAATTATTAGAAAATTCCTTTTAAATATTATTGACTACTAATGCCTATTTTCTTAAGAATAAATCATTTTTGAATAGTAAAAGTGTTGGAGAATTGTACCCTTTTCATACCATCAATTCCTCAAAGTATATTTCTTGCGTCAATATATGAGTCCTTCAATTGTTTTTTATATTCTTTTCATATTATATGTTTTTAGATTTTTAAATTTTCAGTTAAATACTAATTTTTTTTCTCTTATAGATTTTGTCCTCCATTTTGTACTATCAAGTATTTTATTTTCCAGGATTTATATTTATGCATTAAAGTCTTTTCTAGTCAAAAAATTTTCCTTGGTTGTTAACATTTTTATTTTTTGTTAACATTTATTTAGATACACTAAGTTTTCCACTCATAAAAACTATTTCATTCCTTTTTATACTAAGGTGGCGTTTGGTAAAAGGGTTTTGGAATGGGGAATTGGAATAAACTCCATAATTCATGTTTGATTCACTACTATCGGAATTGAAATTTTGGAATGATATCTAAAAATTTAGCATTCCATCATTCCTTAGTAAGTTGGTGGGTTTTGTCCAAATCCCAAGTGTGATTCCAAAATCTTATAATTACATAATATTTAGTATAACTAATATTTATATATATTATATATTATATATTTATATTATAATATATACATATATATAATATATTATAATTATAATTTTTTATTATAATATTAGTATATTGTATAAATATATATTACAATTATTTAGTTAAATATAATTATATTTATATAATATATATTATAAATTTATTAATATTATATAATAATATATTTATAATATATATGTATATTTATAAATGTATATTATATGTACATATAATTATAATATATACATATATATAATTTAATAAATTATATAATTATAATTATATTTATTATTTTAAATATAATAATATATAATAATAACTGTATTTAATATTATTATGTATTATATTTATATAAAATATTAGTACAATTAATATTTATTTATTATATAATTATAATTATATATTTATATTATAAAATTTGTATAATTATAATTAATTATATATAATATTTAATTTAATTAGTTACAAACTTATAATAATGATATTATTATAATATATAATTATATATTATAATTATTTAGTTAAATATAATTATATTTATATAATATATATTATAAATTTATTAATATTATATAATAATATATTTATAATATATGTATATTTATAAATGTATATTATATGTGCATATAATTATAATATATACATGTATATAATATTAATAAGTTATATAATTATAATTATTATTTTAAATATAATAATATACAATAACTATATTTAATATGTAATATATATTATATTTATATGAATTATTAGTATAATTAATATTTGTATATATTATATAATTATAATTATATAATTATATTATAACATTTATATATTTATATTTAATTATATATATAATATTTAATTTAATTAGTTACAAACTTATAATAATAATATTATTAGTTATATGTATTATATAATGTATATTAATTTATGTAATATAATTGATATTATCAATTATACTAATAATTATACATGTTTACTAATAAAAATTATTAATTAGTTATACTAAATTTACTAATACATTTGTATTAATATATTTAATTAGTGAAAATTTCTTATATCTCATTTACAAAGATCCAATGACTATCATTTACGATGTGGTTTATAATATATTTATTATATTCCATTCCAAAAGAGTTGACGAACCAAATATTAATTATAGTAATGATACACATTCCATGTATTTGAACCAAACAGATGTATTGGAATGAATGACTTCATTTCAAACCTAGAATATCCGATTCCAAATCCGAATTCGATTCCGATGTGCAAACCAAACGCCACCTAAGAGTGTTTTCAGATCAACCTTCTTCTTTTCCATCATCCTAAAGCTACTTGCCATCCATCCTAGTAATTCCATACGTGGTGTCTCTGCACTAGTACGCTTCCGTGTTGTCCAAGACTAACACCGATAAAGAACGCAGCTGCCCCCTCCATTTAAATTCAGAACCAGCATCAATTACAATATGGATATTTTCTGCATGCATGCATGCAAAGCATATTAGTACATGATCAAGCAGGTCACAATGTGAGACTCATGCACAAATAAGCTGTACAAAGTAAACCAAGTAGTTCTGACAAGGCTTATGCCTGTTTTAGTGATTGGAGGAGGTTTCGGACAAATATTGACCCTTGCATCATATTTTCACCCTTGGATCTTGACCCTTTGTTCTTCCTGTCTTTTCTACCATGGATAATATGGGTCGATACGAGATGGCAAATTTGTCACCTCCAAGTTCCAATCCAACGGCACACCAAAACTGAAAACCAATATGCTCCCTTTTGAAAGTGATGTACGTGCTGCGAGTTGTGTTAAGCAATCGTTCGGAGCTGCATCAGAGTATAAATAAGGTTCTTTTGTAAGTACACAAAAGAGGACAGACAACAGCCTATAACTTGGTTTAGAAGCAAAAGAATTAGAGCCAATAGATTGAAACTCACCATCTCCATCATTCGAAAGAGTTGCTACTTTTTTTTCTTTTTTTTTTTCCTTCTGGGAAAAGATTGCTACTACTCTATTGGTTTTCTTGTTTTTATCTGGTATTCAAGTTCCTATAAATCTTTTTTATAGGAGTTGGTCACTAACTAAATTAATTGTGAAGTAGGAGGTCAATAGTTCAAATTTTACCTTCCATCCCATCAATGTGACTCTATACGAGGATTGTTCTAAATACATACGGCACGTGGTGCATCCACTATCCCCTGTGTTGGAGTAGGACATGACATTTGCACAAACTAGGAGCTATATTGTCATTTGCACAAACCTTAGCAACCAGTTATTTGTATCTTGGCCACACCTTAAAACAGGGAGAGCAACTAACCCGAAAGTGAAAAGATAAAGCCAAGAAGATTGCCACGCGTGGTGGCGGTTAAATTTTGAATCCAACTTCTCTTCCATTCACAAGTCGTTGCGTCTCTTCCCTCCTCACTTGGCAACTCCCACCAACGTTTATCTATAAGTTTCCGTCTCACATTACATTTGTCAGTGAAGCCTTCATTTGCAAAAATCAATAGAAATTCAAGTTATCATTAACTATCGTTAGCGAAATCAGAGTGTTCGTGCCATCATCTTCTTCAGAACATCGGATCAAAATGGCTTTGACTTCCCGTTTGGGGCACTCTGTCACGCCCAATGCCCTTCGATCATATCTTGCAGAGTTTATCTCCACATTCCTCTATGTCTTCGCTGCTGTTGGCGCCGCCATGTCATCTCGTATGTGGTTTCATTCATCATGAATTGTTTTTTTTTTATTGGACTAAAAATTTGGATGAAGTTTAATTATTTAAAACTGTTTGACAGTTACGAGTTAAAATTGAGTGATCTTGGAATAAAAATTATAGTTTCGGAGACAATTGCAGATTCATGATAAACTGTCTAACCTGCAAGCGAATTTATAAAATTTTATGAGTTAGTGCACTTTGAATTTTGAAGTGCGTGTGTTGGGGAACAGGAAGAATGATGCCAGATGCAGCATCTGAATCATCAAGTCTGGTGGCAGTTGCAGTTGCCAATGCATTTGCCTTATCTGCGGGTGTTTTTTTAGCAGCCAATATATCAGGGGGCCATCTGAATCCGGCTGTCACATTCGGCATGGCTGTTGGAGGCCATATCAGCATTCCCATGTCCATACTCTACTGGATCTCCCAAATGCTGGGCTCCGTCATGGCCTGCCTTCTCCTGAGAACTGCTACTGTTGGCCAGGTTCATGTCATTGACAATCCGTCTCTCAAGTGTCTTGCTTTTATATAAGTTTTCTAATCGCTCTACTTAACTGAAACCTTTTTGCTATCAAAAAGCGCTAAGATCATCTTGGATTTTCTGCTGCGCAAAAGGGTAACAAACACA